GCAACAATCAATATAGCTGTAAAAAATAAGTACATAATTGTAAATAATTCACGTGCAAGTAGGTTATCGCTACCTGATTTTCAAATTTATAATTCACTATGTTAGTTACTGTAAAGATTTAATAACTGACGCTTCTCTTGCAGAAAAATCAGGCAGTGGAAACGCAATGACTCTGGTACATTCCTGACGAAAGAATCTTGGCATAATTGCACTAAACGACCTTAACTGTTACATTGTGAAAAGTACTCGATAATGCTTGCATACATTAATACTAAAAGCAAAAACTTGATTACATTTACATCTGTACTACGCACTTTGCTCATGAAAATTTATTATTACCGTTAATATTACACAAACTTTATTGCCCTGTAACCACACCAGTTGCACCCAAAATATTTTCTAATACACCTGTGCCCCAACATGCTGACACTGGTTTATTCAGAGTTGATCATTGGGCACAAAGTAGTGGATTGCTTTCAGAAATTAAAAAATCGAAAAATGGTATAAAATCGGCAATGAAAGTCAGAAATTGAGTAGACTTGGCCAATTTATTCGATGTCGGCATTGACCGAAACGAAATCTGACACATTAATTAAAGCTTAATGTTATTCGATAGTCAAATTAAGTGTCGTTGATCAAACCCACCCTCTTTGTCATTTTCAGTGACCTCTGAAATATTTGAAAATAAATCTAAAAAAGCCCCAGTGCACACTGGTGTATAATTTAAATCTGAAATGCTAAAATTGTTGTAACAAATAATGTGGTTTTCAATTATACTTTTTTGTATTTATGGGCAAAAATAGAAAAAAATGTACATTCTGCAGTACTGGTTCTGTAATTTCAAATCTACGAACTAATTCAAGCATTTAATTATCATGACCATGAGTGGAAGTGAAGGAGAATATTAAATTCTAAAGTAAGTTGCCTCTTTATGTTTTAAATGTTTCACAGGAATCACAAAAAGAATGTGTTGTAATGTTATACAACAGTTATCTAATACAATCAGAAAATTCTACTATAAAACTTAAAAGCATTTTAATAAATGGTGCAAAATATAGAATTTTCGGCAGACTTTATTCATAAAAAAGATAACGCTATTAAAAAAAATCAAAATTTAATCTTAATTTTGAATTTCAACACTGTGCCATTTGCGGCGAATATTCATATCTGTTAATGTCAACAAGATATATATAAATTTTTGCCATGACCTTAAACTATACCTTAAGTGACAATCAGTGAAATATTAGGTAAGTATGTTAAGGTATCCTGTAATCATAATTATATGTTTGGTGTTCTTCTTTTTCACTAAAGAAACTGAAACAGTTTATTTCAGGAAATTACATTTGATCCAGTGGAGTTGCCTAATTGATTAGCCCAACCAATTATGGTAGAAAAGACTTTTTTCTGTAATCCTTTGGCTAATAACTTTCACAAACGTTTTCTATCCTTACGGGAAATAAGAAAAAAGTCGGTATAATAACTTTCACAAGACAATAAGATAAGTTAATGTTTGCTGACCAATTTTCAAAATTATTGTTTTATAAAATACCAAAACTGAAAGTTGTGCTGAAAAAATTAATTACATACATTGCGGTTTAACTGTTATAAACCTTTCATTGAAATAAAAATAACGCAAGTTTGGTATGTTGCGGTAGAAAATAAATTGGACGGAATAATTATGCGCCGAAAACCTAATCTGAGTTTTTATGACAAATCTTAGTTTATGGACGAGCGACTACATACAAATTTTGGTCTCTATTCCATTGCTTAATGTAAAATTTGAAAAAAAACGCTTTCAATATTATTTACGTGACATTAAATAATTAATTTTGTTGTTCCTAGAACATACTTTAATAATAGTTTTAAACAAAATGGCTCATAAAAAACTTGATGTCCTTAACGAATTCTATAGCTTTTAAATTTTTAATGAAGGACTTATTTCTGTAACAAGCAGTGTACCTAACAACAGCTATGGAATAAGTATAAACTGTACATGTCCTGCTTAAATTAATCACTTTCTAGAAAAACTAAGTGAACAACTTATAAAAACACAAGAATAACATTGAAATATTACTTTTATTTTTAATATTTAATAAGAAACACAGAGAATACGTGAACCATGCACAACTCATAATATATTTTTTTGTTGAGTAATTGCTAATTTCACACGTGTTAAACTGTAAACTCCAAAACAAATCAAAAACTAACAAGATATGTATAAGTAAATAAATTTCCTCACGATAATACCAAATTCTAACACTTATTCAGTTATGCAACTGTATTCGAGAAAAAAGATGAATAGGTATTAGTATAACGCGTCAAATCCTATAATAACATTGCATCCTTGATTATGTAACTCCTCTGGAATTTTTATACTTAATCAAGATAATGGCTATTGAATAAGATCATGTAACTTATAAGTCTCATGCAATTTTCATGTTAAAAGTATTATAAATTAAGTTCTTTTCCAGATTTTCGGAAATGAAACAACACAAAATGACATGTAATAGTTGTGAAGTTTTGTGACTAAAATAAGACAAAACAAAATAAAACAAAGGAAACCATATGATTTTAGGGTAGCTGATTTATCAATATCGCTCCTTTTGGGCTATTTACCTATATGTGAGAAACCAAATAGGAACATTTTCCCAGCAAAATATTGAAAATAGTTCACGTTTTTTAAAATGACGCCACACTTTCATTGATCCACTTCGTGAAAGAGAAATCGCAAATATTTATAAAATTCACATCTTCATTTACCTACTGAAAATACTTCCATATTACATCAGAATATTCTCAATTAAAACTTTACTTCAAACAATAATCGATCAGTGTTTTTGTATCATTGCACATGATAAATCTTTTTGATTAATGGATTAATGGAATAATCGAATACGGAAAAATAACTAGCCTTTCTTAAATTCGAAATGGGTTAAGAATATAAATTCTTGCAAAATTTCAGTCCTGCAACAACTGCTTCCACACCCTTTACATTGCATTCACACCGTTATGAGGAATATGAAACCTCGCATTTAAGACACTTATTTTTAACAAAAAACTGAAGCAAAAAATTGAAAGTTGGTTCAACCAGTTAGAAACTGCTTTCGATTTGGACAATAGTTTAATATTTGGGTCGTGTAACTTGCACTGTCATTTTATCAGGAAGTAATCAAACTCTAATGCACAACAATGTCAAAATAACAAAATTTTATGCGATTCTGCACATTTGTAGTGAAAAGTGCAAAACTCTATCCAAGAATATATTTGTTCCATCAGATAGTCTTGAAAGTAGTAACAATCACATAACCATCGTTGTTATCAGATGGAATTATAAGTAATTGGTAGTGTTGGTAGTGCAGTTAGTTTAAACTTTCTCAAATTTCTTCTTCTTGTTAAAATATAAAATTACGTAAGAAACTTAGTCCATATACGCTGGAACGGATACATAATGCTAATGTGATAACAACATGTTCTTTAATTATTTTTAAAGTATAAATAAGCTATCGACATCAAAAACGATCATTATACAGTTTTGACATTCTGTCTAATTCTAACACTTTTAAACTTGATAAATATACGAGAAGGTTTGGAACGCGGTTTTTCAGATACAAATGAATTATAATTAAGAATCAATAATAAAAATCGTACTTGAAATAATTAGCAATTATTTTAGTACAATAATGAATAAATAATAATAATAATAATCTTTTGAGCAGTTTTCATATTAGTTTACAATAAAATAATATATCATTATGTTTCCGTTTCATCCGGTATATTTTTAGCACCTGTTTGACCTTACTTTTTTATCATATTCCTAAAGAAGATGGGACCGGTAATCCTTGAATCTCGATATTACAGTTCGTTTATGAAAATGAGAAACTTAATTATGAGAACAGCTCATTGCCAAGCAAGTTTTATTTAGAATTCTCTTCATTATTTGTTTTTTTTTCTTCATTTTAGATACATATTTCTTTTTACTTTGTTAGTTCTACCTACTGCTCACCAAAAAGTCTTTAAAACCAGAAAATAGGTACCTAATAGTACACCACTTTACTGAATTCGTAACAAGCAGACAGTAACGTATCTTATGAGAGTATATTTGTGGAGTTTATAAACAGCAAAAGAGCATTCGGAGTATTTCGAAGATAAAGAAAAATTATCCAAAACAAAGATTATTTAAAAAAGTGATATCTTGTTCAAAACTATTGATCATTCTCAAAGATATAATAGAAATAACATTAAATGCGACTACCAGTAGCATCATTTTGTCACTTTTGATAAACCCAGATCTGTCCGCAACTCCGGGGTAGTTCACAGCGCACTAAAGGGGTATAGAGAGTTGAAGGTGTAATCCAGAGTTGTAAAACCACATTTTTAACATAATACATAATCATTTAAAGTTTTATGTTTTTTTATGTTTTTTTTTTAAACAAGTGCCCTTCACTCATGATTTCCTATCCCCATCAGCGAATTCCTAGGTCCATTCTTTTGATGAAGCAATCTTTGCTCTAGGGAGTTTCTGCAACCTTCAATGGCTAAATCGTTGCGTTTATCTCTTCTGTCTATACTCTATACTGCTCCATAACCACCGGAGATTTTTCTGAAAAAACATCTCCCAGCCTCGAATTGAGTTCCAATTTAAATATGGTTTTTGACCATTATATTCTGCTAGTCGCACAATTCAGACTAATTTTGATTTGTAAAACTATTGGCAACTCACTCACAACTGACAAAAAACAATTATTCCAAAGTTTTGAACGTTGTCGAATTGTTTTTAAAATCATAGACATCCCCCAAAAACTTTTTTTTTTCATTTTTTGATGAGTAGTATATTAATTAAACTAAACGTGTCCTTGTTTGAGTAAAGTCATTTACCCTTGCCCGACCGCATCATCTTAAAGGATGAAAATTGAAAAATACAACATTCCCATTAATCGCCAAATAACATGAAAATTCGCTTTACCATTCCTTGTCGAAAATAAAATGTTAAGTAAACATACCAACAAGTCGCGGAAAAAAATCGCTGGCACCTTTTGACACGAAATTCACAAACTCTTCCACGTGATTCGGCCCACATCGGAAATACAAAGTCCTACAAACTATCACAGCGTCCACGAAAGACTAAATCGCGCGCGTTGACTTCGCCACGGGAACAGCACTTTCTAATCGCACCCGCCCAGAACTCGCGCATTGCAGCGTTTCTCATGCGCGGCATGTTCTAACCATCTTGAGTATTTTACCATCTAAAACTGCAAGACAACTTGCCAAACAGAAATAGACAATCGAATCATCTTGTCACCGGACTTTTTCCGGAGATTGAATAGGAACCGGTTTTCACGAACCTTGTAAAATTTCTTTTGCGCTTTCAACCGAGCTTCAATTAATTTGAAGGCTAGATCAGTTTATCAAGGCTGTGGCTTATAACTGTTACTTCTTGTTCAAAACAAGTCGCGCTGCAAATATTTCTAAACCATTTTTTCCAAGTTACGTCAGCAAAATGGTTGCTATTGCCTAGTCACTTTTATTCGCATTGAGAATCAAGACAAATAGTTCTGGTCATAAAAAGCATTCTATTAAAAACCAGGATTATGAAATAATAATAAATATAACACAAGATATGATATTTTTCATTCACAATCACCAATGTAATGTGCCGATTATTAACCTTTTAAAGGTTGGAAAACACGTCATTATATCTCATGAGGAAGTAATAACATTACTTCTCTTGGGCGGTATTATGCAGGATTGCCAACGTTAAGATTACAACTATACCTACCACAATTTTTTTCTTTCAAATTGTCAAGTTACGCATAATATTCTGCTAAATTAGTATTCAATCGCTTCTGTAGCAGTTTTTCTTCCTTCTGGGGGAGTATACTGCTCCATTTCAACAATTTTAATATCAGATTCACACATTATTTCAACATGCAACATTCTTTGACATTTCTAAAATGGCGCCTCTCGATTGTATACATAAGCAATCGGAGTAATGCCATATTTACCACCTCGTTTGTAATGTATGTTGTACCTACTATTACACCAGCCAACATTGAGAAGAAAACAGTTATTTTTGTTCAATTCTATGTGCTAAACTCAAAAATGATAAAGAAAATTCCATAGCACGTCAGATTTTAAAACTAGGCATTTTAAGATATCATATGTAAGTATGTTCGACAAAATCGCCGAAAAACGAAACACTTAAAATCCATTTTCTCCATTCTCATTTAAATTTTTTTCTTTTCCCCCAAATTTGGGTGCCGTTAGTGACGAGCAAGGGGAAAGGTTCCACCAGGATATATTGACGATAGAAAAGAGGTACCAAGGGAGATGGGGTCCAGCTATGATGGGGGATTATTGCTGGTTCCTGATAAGGGAAGTTAAAACAGATTTTGCAAAAAACTCATCTACAACAGATTTATGTTAGAATCTTATACATCTTTCAACATTGTTCTTGTTTAGTGAATAAATTAATTTCTTTCGTCGTCTATTTAATTAATTTCTATTTGAAATGAACAATTTTTACGATAAAATTTGAGAAAACTATTTTCCTGTAACTTAAAATCTGTACGTAATAGAGAATTTTTCTTATCAAATTCGTAATTAGGGATGTTAATGTACACGTCTCAATAGATAAATCACATTAAAAAAATTAAATTTGTTGGGTAGTGTTATTAGAATCATCTGTTTAATAGCTCAGAAGAAGAGTAGTTTTTATGGAACTATTTTCCCACTAATCAAAAATCGATAAGGAAATTTTCCGGTGGGTCCATGGAGGAACAAATTAGTAAATGAGTTAAAGTTATTTCTTTAGTTATGAATCTTTTTGATTTATTACTCACTTATTTACTAATCATACTAGACTTATAGTAGTATAGTATAGTATAGTATAGTATAGTATAGTATAGTATAGTATAGTATAGTATAGTATAGTATAGTATAGTATAGTATAGTATAGTATAGTA